CCGGGGTTCCTCTCATAGACCCTTGGCCCACCAGGTTGCTTGTTCAATAAACAGGGTTCGGAGGATGTGGGACTTCTCGGACCCTATAGAGCCAGGGATTATCAGGCCACCCTGGCGGAGATTGGGGGTCTCCAGGGCTAGGCATCTGGCAACATTTGGGGACAGTGTGGTGCCAGAGATCATCAATATCCTCTCTTTCCAGTCCTTCTTACTAATTTTTGGTTTGGGAGCCACACGGGGCTGTGTTTGAGACTTATTCTACGCTCTGTGCTTAGGGATCATTCCTGGTGGTGCTTGGTGGAACCATATACTAGGTGTGGGGAGGGGGTGGGGGTATAGGAATCAACCCTCTGCCTTTCAAGAGAGTACAGCTATGAAGAAGAAAAGTGCAAAGTAAGGGAAATACCTACCTGGATAATGCCCCCTCAAGGGACAGCCTGGATCTCAGCCACAAGCTGAGAAACAAAGCCAAGCCCTTGGCAGGCAGGCAGGCTCCTGCCGTGTGTGGCCTGGGGGGTGGGGTGGGGGGGAGCTCAGAAAGGGCTTCCTGAACCTCTCACACTTCAGCCTGGGCCTGACGGAGAGTTGCTTTTCCTGAAATGGGGGTCCAGTTGCATTTCCATGATTTCCAACCACATTCCCCTCTCCCCCCACCGTCTCCTTCTCCAGAGGAGATTCTAGGGCCCTGGCTGGTGCCTGGGGCTCCAGAGGCCTCAATTCTTCCTTCCCCTCCCCCCTCCACCTAGTTAGTCATGCCCAGGCAGTGGAGTGCTGGGCTGCAGGTCCCTGTGGCAGGAGGTCCGTGCTTTTCCCCCATGATGGACTCTGCAGAAGTGGGCCAGTGAGCAGTGTGTTTGCTTGTTTTAGTTACCAGGATTTGGCTTTTTTTGGGATTTTTGCGGGGGACTGTGGAAGGTTGGGTGGTTGTTTTCTCTAAACTCCTTTAAAATATACGTGAAGGTAGAACTTCTTTTCCTGGGCAAACCTGAGGGTGCAATTAGTTGTCCTGGAGCATAGGACAAGACTGTCTTTGGGCAGGAGCCTGAAGGATGCCTTGTCAGGCATAGCAGTTGGTCACTGGAGTTGTACATCATTAACCCACCTCTTAGGGAAAATGCCAGTGGAAAAGAGAATCTGGGGCCCCAGGAAGAGAAGAATTGACACTGGAGTCTGTAGGCCAGAATGGCTGCTCATGGTGATGTCGGTGGTGGCTCCCCCCCCCCCCCCCCCTCCACACACATCTCAGAAAGAAGTCCAGGTCTTCCCCAGGCCTTTCAGAAGAGCTTGGAGCCAGCCTGGAGCATGTGCAACACCCTTGCCCCCGAGAACCTAGCCAAGGAGGAGAGATGCTTCCGTGACCCTCTCTTGATGGCGGGAGGAGGGAGGGGTGGGACCTACTAGAGGAAGGGACAGGATGTGAATCATGTCACTGTTCTGATGAGGAATCGTGTGAAGTCACATTTATTGAGGGCTTACTACCACACCAGCTCTCTTCCATGCTCTCTCCCTGGGTGACTCACTCAATTTTCGCCCTCAGCCCCATTTTATAACCGAAGGAAGCCGAGGCACAGGGAGCCCCAGGTCACAGAGCAAGCGAGGAGAGCAAAGGGTTCCAGATGTGCTCTGACTCACCCCGTGGCAGACAGGCAGACAGCCCGATGTTATCTCCAGACTCTTATGTACTCAGGCCACTGCAGGGTTTCATCTGCAGAGTAGCCACTCTCATTAGCTCCAGAAGGGAGATTCTGAGGCCTGCCTGGGGCCACACGACTCCCTGAAAGACACAGAGCTGGGAAACAAGGACCAGGCAGGGCCTCAGGGATTTATGGGATTTATCTCCGCTTCCCTGGGCTGCCTTTGCTTTCAGACAAGTCCTTTGCTCTAGCAGAAGCCGCCCCAAGACTGGGAAGAAAACAAGCCTTTTGCCCTCTGAACTTTTCTCTCTGGGGCTGTTAGGGAGCCTGGGGCCGCTGCTCCAAGCCAGCTGTGTGCTTCTGTGTGTGGCTCCGACTCTCTCAGTTCCCTCACACCACATCCTTGCAGAGCCTTCTGTGCATCTCAGCTTTGGGCTCTTTGGTCCCACCATCTCACCAGGGCTGACAGCAGGCGAGTGAATGCCAAGCCCTGTGCTGAGTGCTTGGGGGTTCTGCAGTGAAGCCCCTGCTTTGCTTCTATGGTGGGGGGCTGGAGAAACCTCAGAGAGAAGCCCCCGAGGGTCTATCTTTTCTCCAGGATCCAGGAAACTGGCATTCTGCATCCTCATGCATGTCTGGCACCCTTGTGATGGTCAGTGGGAGGGGTGCGTGCGCGCGCGCGTGTGTGTGTGTGTGTGTGTGTGTGTGTGTGGTGTATGTGTGGGGGTTCTTCCTGCTGATTGGCTGCAAAGGGAAGCTTGCTGCCAGGCTGCAAGGGTGGGCTTGGATGCAAACCACATGTTTCAGCCTGATATGCTCAGTGCCAGGGACTTGCAGCGTATGCCTCAGTGTCTCCCTTTGTGAGGTAGCTGTGCCCCCCACCTTCTGGGGGCACTGGTAGGATTAATGCATGCTGGCTGCCCGCCTCCATGACACAGTTAAATCCCTTTCCTCCTTGGTGGCCAGAGCAATGGTACAGCGGGGAGCGCATTTGCCTTACACCCGGTTGACCCCATTTCAATCCCAGGCATCCCGTGTGGTCCCCTGAGCACTGCCAGGAGTAATTCCTGAGAGCAGATCCAGGAAATAACCCCTGAGCATTGCGGGGCATGGCTCAACAACAACAACAACAACAACAACAACAAAAAGAATTCCATTCCTCCTTTAGTAACTAATTTTGTAAGCCTACCTAATGCACAGCTTGTAGGGCATTTGCCTTGCACACAGTTGACCTGGGTTCGATTCCTCTGTCCCTCTTGGAGAGCCCAGCAAGCTACCGAGAGTATCCTGCCCGCATGGCAGAGCCTGGCAAGCTCCCCGTGGTGTATTCGATATGCCCAAAACAATAACAAGTCTCACAATGGAGACGTTACTGGTGCCCCCTCGAACAAATCGATGAACAACGGGAGGACAGTGCTACATAATGCATGACCACACAGGGGCCCTTGGTAAGTGAATCACTGGTTAGAGCAAATTTCCTTCTTGATAGGAGGAAACTGGCCCCTCACAGGAAAGTTGAGCCACAATATTCAGAGGTCAGGGAGCTGCCAGAGTGCCCAGTGCTGTGTTCGAGAGAAGGTCTATATATGGTGGTTGATGTGGTGCCTCTGCTCTGGGGTCCAGAAATGCCCATCTCAGTTCTGCTCTGAAGACAGCCCAAGCAGAACCTCGGAGGCGGGGGAAGGGTGAGGGGGCAGGGCTTTGTCCTGACTTGGACGAGTGCGGGGAGGTTGAGGGACTGTCTGGAATTCTGCACCAGGACGTCTAGCGCCCTGCCACAGAGGCAGGACTTGATAAAGCAGTGGGGTGGGGACACGGTGGCTTTTAGATTTCCAGGCAGAGGCGGATGGATGCACAGAGCCAACAGCTCAGGGGGATAGAATGTGACCGAGGCAGGCCAGCCTGTTTGTCTGCTGCCATGGGCCAGGGGGGTGTGGCTTGATAATGATGATTATGACAGGGAGGATGGCAGCTCTGCCCAGGTGGCAGCCCACGGAGCCTGCCAGGCCACTGCGGGTGTGCGGCCCCGTCCCAGCTGTGCTGAGATGCCTCTGAGGGAGGGTCCGGGGGAGTCTCACCGGGGAGTCTGGGGGCCAGCCAGTGCCTTCCAGGCCTCTGTCCCCGGAGCCTAAGTCTTTGTCATTTCCAATGGTGCTACTCCTGGCAAGGCCAGCACCAGGAAGTAGCTGTTTCTGTCCCCCAAGAAGGCTGAGAATTCTGAAGGCAAGACCCAGCTGCCAGGCTCTGAGCACAGGTCTGTGTGTGCTTGACGGAAGGCATGAGTGCGAACGTGGGCTGTGGGCCTTGGCCCTGTTGAGCAATCTGTGTGGACATTTGAGGCGTTGTGGCTATTGCTTTTGGTCTATCTGTTAACCTTTGCCCTTGATGGTGCCTCTTAGAAAACTGTTGTCATTAGATGTGAAGGTAAATCCTTTCAAATGTTTGGTAATTCAGGACTCTGTTTTCAAACAGGGAAGAAGGTTTTGTTTTTGTTTTGTTTCTCTCTGTGTGTGTGTGTGTGTGCTCGCTTGTGTGTTTCTTTTTCAGAAGCAACAGACTGCAACCAAATCATTCGGGTGGGTATTAAATACCTAAATAATAATTTGTTTAGGAAACTTGGCCATGACCAGATGGTCCTCTTTAATATTGCTTTCATTTTATTTCATTTTCTGGTGCTGTGGCTGGAACTGACACGGAGCCACATCCCTGCCCCAGATAATGGCCCTTTAGACGTTCCAGGTTTATTTGGTATTTTGGACCTTTCCCCTGAGAACCTTTCCCCTCGGTGATGTATCAGCTTTGAGACCAGCTTGATTTCCTTCCTTTCATCATGTCTTTGCTTGGAGGTTCTGGCATTTTCCCATTTCATCTCCACTTCCAAATGAAGCGTTCTTTTCCAGATCCGTGTTACTTTCTTAGCAAAGTCTTTGTGTAGAGATGCCATCTGCTGCCGGGGGGGCCGGGATTGTGACAGAGACAAAAGTTTGTTTAAATCATCTCTGTCATGGGACTGGAGCGATAGCACAGTGGGTAGAGTGTTTGCCTTGCACACAGCCGACCCGGGTTCGATCCCCAGCATCCCATATGGTCTCCCCAGCACCACCAGGAGTAATTACTGAGTGCAGAGCTAGGAGTAACCCCTGTGCATCGCCGGGTATGACCCAAAAGGAAAAAACATCATCTCAGTCGTCCCTTCCTCATCAGAAATGCCTGGACACACTCAGAAACAGTCTTCAGGTTGGGTGCCGTGTTACTGCAGCGCCTGTGAACAAGCTAAGCTGGAGGGGTCATTGGCTGGGGGAAGGCATGAGACTGGAGTGGAAGAGAATGTTACTAACCTTCATTTTGGGGTTCTTGTCTTTAAAGGAACATGGCAACCGGTGTGGGGCTCATCCTGGAAGGAGGGGACTTTGGCCATTGTGATGCCTAAGGATCAAGTGAGTAACTGTTGTGGGTCTTTAATGCCACTGAGTCACTCTTAGTGTGGGGCCGACTTCAGACCTTGGGAAGTATAGGGGCTCTTGTGTTCTTTCCTACAGCCCGAGTGAATTTGGCCCTGTTTTAAGAAGGCAGGGCTGGTAAAAGGTGTGGTGTCCCTTCTTGGTCTTTGTCTTGGCCTACAGCCTCCACAGTGGCAGCCAAGAAGGGATGGAGGGAGGCAGGGTAGAGATGAACATGTGTTTGGGGGATCGTTGGTGGTGTTTGGGTGGGTGCAGACTCGCCCCATCTTAGGAAGCAAGCAGTTTACTGCACCAGCTTCCGTGCCAGCTCTGGTTGGTTGCGTTTTCATCCTGGCTGAGCACTGCCACAGGAAGTGCACTGCATCAGTGCTCTGATTTCAGAGCACTGTGTCCATTAGTCCATGATTTGAACATAGGGTGTCAGCCTGCTTATCTGCTTGGGTTGTGTCCTGGGGAGAACAGCCCCCTTGATGTTATTTCCTGCTATTTAGAAGCTCCTCAGACTTTTAAGGTCTGGAAGGCTTGGGGTAGGCTGGCTCTAATGGTGACAGTGTTTTCCATTGTGAACTCCACTCCCGAACTGTTACTCTGAGAGCTTCCCCCCCCCCCCCCCGCCCTGCACCCCCGGCTCCCGTCTCTGTACCCCTGCTTTGCCCAAAGTGCTACAGGACACATTCTGGAAGCTGATTGTCACATGCCTGTTTGACCCCAGCTTCCCTTTCCAACCCTGTTTTTTTCCTCTCCTCCATGCCCAACGGCTGAACACCCTGGTGCCCCTGGCCACATTGGTGCCCCCGCCTCTGTGTTCCTACAACTCTGTGCATACCTCAGATGAGGTGCTGTTTATAGCAAGGCCAATTTCCTCTCTGTCTCACCCACTGGCCCGGGGAGCCAAGGGGCTGAGGACCCTCCTGACTTCTTGTGGGAGCCAGGCAGCAGTCCCCCTGACCACCACCCCAGTGGTGGCACTTTCCACACGTACAGGGGTCTCATCAGCTGTTGAGTTGAGGCATTCAGCCTGAGGTTTCTCGAGGGCCCAATGGCGTTCCTTCTTCGTGATGGCTCATGGGACCTTTACATCCTGGAAGGGAGATACCCAGGACTTTCTCATGGATTTTAGAGGCCAGGGTGGAGCACTCTGCCAACTGGCCCAGGGCTGCAAGTTAATCAGGACCCAGACTCAAGGCTCCCGGGCTCCGGGCTAGTATGGTTTCTGTAACATCAACTTTCATAATTAGAGAGCACCTGAGAGATGAGGTAGCAGCAACCCCCTCATTACCAGATAGGGAAACTGAGACCTGGCCTGAAGATACTTTCTCAGGGTGACAGAAGTAACTAGGACCAAGTGGAAAACTGGACTTCCTGTCTAGCAGTTTCCAAACCCCCAACTCTACCCCTGTCACCTCTCTTCCTCCATCTTCTCTCTCGACAGCTGTCGGAGAACATGGTAGATCATCCATCTGAGTTTCCTGAAGAATGTAGAGATTGGCCTGAGTAGAACTGGTTCAGCCTCCGCTGAGGTGTGAGGCCCGTGGCCTGGACGAGGGAGAGAGGGAGGGCTCATGAACAGCTCTGGGACTATTGGATAACACTGTTCTGTCCTTCCTGCATGGCCCCAGGTAGTTTAGGTATATTGGGTTGCTCCTATCACAGTGCTCCCATTCCTCTGTGTTTATTTGTAACTTCTTTCTTTGTACTCTGTTGACTTGTAAATATTGTTTTTCTCTTCTCCCTAAGTCCTTTGCATAGTTTATTCAGAGCAGTGTCCTTTTTGTATGGACACAAGAAGACAGCATATGGTATGCTTTTGTAATGTAACTCACAGTGATATTTTCCTCCTGGGCATCTGTTCTCTCACCTAAGCCTCAGCTGCCTTTACTTCCTAGCACCCCCACAAGCAGGGTCCCGACGAGGGACTGGATGGAACCAGGGCAAGTGGTAAGCTATGTGCTACCCTGGCATCGAGATGGGCCTGGCCAAAGCGCCATACTGCTTAACTATAAGTTAAGAGCTTGGTCATGGAGAAATGCTGTCATGATCCAAAAAGTAATAACTAGATTTGGACCCTACTAGGGTTAGGAATGATTAATCTGGCCTGAGTGCTATAGTCTGAGATCTGTGGCAAGATGTTCCTAGGAGAGCTGCCCTACAAGCCTCAATGTTATGTCTTACTGTGTCCATACAAAAATAACTATTATTTAGATGTCCATAGAGTTATTGGACTAGGGAAAAGAGGAAAACACCTTAAGGGGTATTTTGCCCTTGGACAGTCAGGAAAGGCTTTGGAATATTCTAGGTGGTGTTCTCTTTGAACTTGGTGGGCCCTCAGGAAGGGCTTTCTTATGTTGATTTGGCTACCTGACTGGGTGCAGTGTCAGCCTGGAGAGATAAGGGAGTTGGAGGCAAGAGAGCTGGAGAGAGAGAGAGGCAGGGCAGCATGATGGACTGTGGAGAGGCTAGCAAGGGGGACAGAGAGAGAAGAATGTAGAAGAATACAGGAGCAAGCACGTGGGGGGGAGGGGGAGAGAGAGAGAGAGAGAGAGAGAGAGAGAGAGAGAGAGAGAGAGAGAGAGAGAGAGCGCCCACCCAGGCTGCCAGGCTGTGAGATGGAGCATGGAGAGATGAGCGGGAGAGACAGGAGGCAACGGGAATGAGGAGCAGTGGAGACTAGAATGGGAGGCTCAGAGAGACTGGGGCAGGCGCGTGGGGAGAATGGAATAACCGGCATCTGATCAATCAGTGGGCTTGGCCCTTGCTTCCTCCACCGTCTGCCTCAGGGCCCTGACCGTGCTGGCTGGGGGAGCGGCCTGGGCCCACCCAGAACCTGGGCGGCCAGGGGAAGAGCCGTCAGGGCCACTCCCAGGCCACCCCTCGAAAGATTTTTTACATGGGACCTTTTGCAGGAAGCTGGAGCAGGGCCAGCAGTGGGCAGCCTATCCTTGGGGCTGATATGAGGGCCATTAGCACCCAGGTCAGGTGAGGAGTCCCCACTCAGAGTCTGAGTACAGCATGAGCAGGGTTGTCTGGCCCAAGAAGTAGGAGTTCTGTTCCTTGCCTGGAGAACTGGAGTGGGAGTATGTCTGCAGAGGTCAGGCAAGGGCCAGCGAATCTCAGTGTGTTTGAAATGGACAAGGGAGCAGGAGCGTGTGTGCTGGCGCTTCTGGCTTCCTTCTTTCTGCTGTGCTCCCGGGAATTTGTGTTTTGTGTCTGACCCACGGCACTTGACCTTGGTTGTCCCCCCCACCCCGCCCTCACTCTCTATCATGGGGGCCCTCCTGGTCATCCCGCCTGGCACTTTCCAAGATTCCCCTGCCCTTTCTCGCAACTTCTGGGGCACACAGACTGGGAGATGGGGCCCGACCGCAGACTCCACTCCCCTGGCAGGTCGAAACATACAATTTGCCCAAATTACAGAGAATGTGATGTTCACCAATAGGTACCTTGGATTATTTTTCTAAGACATGACCAGGGTAGAAACGTCTCTAGAGTGAAGAAAGTGTTAAATCATTATTTTTTACTCCATGGGGTTTACAGGGCCCTTCACATCGTATGAGAAGAACATGCTCTTGTCCTAATTAAAGCGGAAGACTTTGCTCCCGGTCCACAGATGGGGCTATTTTGCTTATGTTGTCAGCTTCCGGGTCGGAGGTGGTTGCTTCAGGACTGAGCTGGGACCCCCCAGTTCCCTGGAATCCTGTTCATACATTTCATGATCTTTCCACTCTACTCGAGGGCCTGGAATAGAGAGGAACTCAATAAATATTTGTTGAATGATTGAACTCTGACTACTTCCCACCCTCCTTTCTTTGAGGGTGGGGGAGGGGTAGCCACTCGACCATAACAGGATCCCCTTTGGCAGCCAAAGAGCATTGCTCCCTGAAGTATTTGAATTTCTCGCCACGATAAGGAACCAGCGAGCTCTCTTCTCACCCAGCCTCACCTCCGGGAACTGGGTCACATATGCTGAATAATTAATTCCTTGAATATTTTACAGAGCTTCCTCATCCTGCCATTGAGAGGAACGATCAAACATTGATCTTTGAAAGGTAGGGGCAGAGGCGGCCTGACTATCTGTGGCCCTGTCCCTGTCAGTGACCTCTCTCACTGCTCAGGGTGACCTATGGGCACAAGACCGAATGGCTTCATCTCTTCCTCTGCTGCTCTTCCTTCACCTTAGATGGAGGGAGAAGGAGAGATGTGGGCTCTCTTCTATGTCTGGAGGCTGCGTAGGGGACAGGAAGGTCCACCTCTCCCTCCTGGACACCCTGGGGCTTTGTGGTGAGGTCTGGAGAAAGGACCAGCCAGCCTTGTGAGTCTGGGAAGGAAGGCCTGGACTTGGGAGGCCGTTATCAAAATATCCACAGGTCCGGTTCTTGCCCTGAGTGTACTGGCTCAGGTTTCTGAGTGTCGGTAGGGGCTCTGGCTGACCTCATTAGAACAACCTCATTAGACTCGAGGTCAAGAGAAGAGAGCGGAAAAAAGAGCCAGGCCAGGCCACTAGACCATGTCCCAGGAAGGCGAGTCACCGCTTATCTGAGCAGCCTGGTGCATGCCACAGCCCTTTACTTACCCTGACTTCTTATGAGGGGGACAAGGGAAGCAGAGAGGGTTGGATGGATTCTCAAAGGAGCCCCCCGGACGTCAGGTGCCCCGTGATCCCCCTGCCAGGGGATGAGCCCCTTTTGTCTCAAGTCTCTGCCTCCCTTCCTGGGTTTTGAGCTTGCTCAGGTCAACACGTTTCTCCTGAACTTTGTAGCTTCCCTGCCTCTCTCTGCCTGACTCTGTGGATACTGCTAGCTAAAGGGCAGACCAGGGATTTGTGGCAGCCTTGTCCCCCTGCCCAGCATCATGGGGAGACAACTGGTCTTCCGAACGGGTGCTGGGCACCTCGGATGTTGGGAAGGAAGGGAGTAGGAACATTCTTAAAAGAAACCAACCGGGAGGATTGAGGTCAGGGTGGGGAGGGAGGTGCTGGA